GCTTACAGGTTTCCTTGAACATTTCTTGTGATGTGGGTCTGCTGGTGATGAGTTTCTTTTGTATAGTTGAAAGCAGCTGTATTTTGTCTCCATTTTTGAGAGATATTTTTGCTGGGTTAAAGAATTCTAGGTTGGGGCTTCCCTGGTGGCGCAGTGGTTGAGAGTCCGCCTGCCAATGCAGGGGACGCGGGTTCGTGCCCCGGTCCGGGAAGACCCCACATGCCGCGGAGCGGCTGGACCTGTGAGCCATGGCCACTAAGCCTGCACGTCCGGAGCCTGTGCTCCGCAACGGGAGAGACCACAACAGAGAGAAGCGCGTGTACCGCTAAAAACAAACAAACAAACAAACAAAAAAGAATTCTAGGTTGACAGTCCGTCTTTGAGTACTTTAAAGATGTGGCCCCATCGTGTTCTCCTGTATTATTTCCTTTGTGAAACCTGCTGTCGTGCTTATTTTTATTCCTTTATACTTAAGGTATCTTTTCCTCTGGCTGCTCCGAAGATATTTATCTTAATTGTTGATTTTGAACAGGTTTTTCATGTGGGGCCTCGGTATACTTTTCTTCATATTTCTTGTGCTCGGGAGTCATAGAGCTTCTTGGAGCCGTGGGTTTATAGTTTCCATCAGATTCGGAAAACTTTCTAGACATTATTTCTTCAAACGTTTTTTCTACCCCCTGCTCCTTTAGGAACTTGTTACGGATAGACTGGGCCTCTTGAAGTTGGCCCACGGCTCACTGATGTTCTTCCCGTTCTTAAGTGTTCTCTGTGTTTCATTCTGGAGAGTTGCTATTGTGAAGTCCTGAGGTTTGCTGATCTTTTTTTTTGGTAGTGTGTAATCTGTTAATTCCATCCAGTGTCTTTTTCATTTCAGGTGCTGTAGTTTTTATCTCTAGGAGTTCAGTTTGAGTCTTTTTTTTTTTTTTTTTTAATCCATGTCTCTACTTAACTTGTTGAATGTATAAGATACAGTTTGAATGTTCTCGTTTGCTAATTCTGCCGTCTGAGTCATTTCTGGGTCAGTGTCCATTGATTGATTATTCTCACTATGGATCATGCTTTCCTGCTTCTTTGTATGCTTGATAATCTTTGATTAGATGCCAGACATTGTAATTTTTACCTTGTCAGGCTAGCTAGCTTTGTATTCCTATAAATACTCTTAAATATTGTTCTGGGATGCGGTTAAATTACTTGTAAGTAGTTTGACCCTTTGGGGTTTTGCTTTTATGATTTGTTAGGTGGGTCCTGAGCACCCACCTAATCTGGGGCTCGTTATTCCTCATTACTGATGAAGTAAGACCTTCCGGAGTATTCTACGCAATATCCTGTGAATTGTGGGTTTGTCCTAGTCCCGGCCCTGTGTGAGCACCAGGCATATCTCTCTAATCCTTTTGGTTGGTTTTCCCCCAGCCTGGGGTAGTTTCCTTACACCCTTGCACTGACCAGTATTCTTCTAAATATTCAAGAGGCCCCTCTGCGATCCCTGGGCAGCTGTCTCCTCTCTGGTTCCCTGTCCTGTGACTCCAGCTGTCTTGCTCTCCTGAGACTCAGCTCTGTCTCCTCACCTCAGGCAAATCTGCCTGCATCCCCCTCTCTGCATCATGGCTTGGAAACTCTCAAGACAGAAAGCTGTGGCAGTCAACTGAAGGGCTCATCGAGTGTGCTGCCTGTTTCCCTAGAATTGCTGTCATTCATTGCATGATGTCCAGTATCTTGGGAACTGTTGTTTCATATACTGTATTATGTCTGGGTTTTTTTGGTTGGTTGGAGATGGGAGTGAAATCTGGTCCATGTTACTTCATCTTGGGAGGGAGTAGAAGTCCTACTTAATAAACACTGGAGACTTCCCTGCTGGTCCAGTGATTAAGGCTCCACGCTTCCACTGCAGGGGGCTCGGGTTCTATCCCTGGTCAGGGAGCTAAGATCCCCCGTGCCGTGCGGTGTAGCCAAAAAAACCCCAAACCAAACCAAACGAAAACATTGATTAAACAAATTGGCTGAATTAACTCTGACCTGACCCTCCCAGGTTCCTGACAGCTGGTTCCAGAACTGTGGTCATAATGCCTAGCACCCAGTAGGTGCTCCATGTTTGTTGAATGAACGCATGCTAGAGTACTTGACCTCATAAGAAGTAAAACAAACAAACCAAAAAAAAAAAAAACGAACACCCGAGCAAACTAAAAAGAGAGTGCTAGACCTCTGCCTTCTGACCCAGTCCTTGTCCTCAGGGCACTGCACTTGGCCGTGATTCATCGGCACGAGCCCTTCCTGGATTTCCTCCTGGGATTCGCCGCTGGTACTGAGTACCTGTACCTGCAGAATGACCTGGGCCAGGTGAGCCACCCGTAGACACTGTAGGGCTTGGGGGCCAGACTTCTCTGTGTGACCCCTAACCCCTGCCTTCTGCTCCTGCAGACAGCCCTGCATCTGGCAGCCATCCTGGAAGAGGCATCCACGGTGGAGAAGCTGTATGCGGCGGGTGCCAGCTTGCTGGTGGCGGAGCGTGGGGGCCACACGGCGCTGCACCTGGCCTGCCGCGTTGGGGCACACGCCTGTGCTCGTGTGCTGCTCCAGCCCCGCCCCCAGTGCCCCAGGGGAGTCCCCAACACCTACCTCGCTCAGGGCTCTGACCACGCCCCTGACACCAGCCACACCTCTGTTGCCTTGTACCCTGAGCCTGACCTGGAGCAGGAAGAGGGTGAGAGTGAAGAGGACTGGAAGCTGCAGCTGGAGGCTGAAAACTATGAGGGTGAGTGTCCTCTGTCACTGGGAAGGGCCCGGGCTCCCAGGCAGGGTAAGGGTGCCTGGCTCTGGGCTCGGCTCTCCTGACTCAAAGCCTGGCCCCTTGGGAAATAATACCGAGGCTTTAGGGAACCCAGGCATCAGGCCCAAGGACTCCTGCGCAGGTCCCAGCTTATTGAGAACCACAAGCCCCAGGCCACCCAGGACAAGGGAACTCAAGCGCCAAGCCCTCTGGGAAACTCTGGCAGCCCAGGTTCCCAGAGGTTGACATTGGAGTTCAGGGTCAGCCCTCCTCAGCCAGGCCTCATGGGAAAATAGACCTTGTCTACCCAGGGCCCTAGCATCTGAGTCTCAGCTCCCCCGTCTCTAAGCCCACCCAAGTACTCGGGACCAGGCCCCTCCACAGGTGGAAGGGTGGGACCCAGTGTTCAGGGCCCACCCCACCCCCCAAGGTCATAGGCCCTTCAACTACTCAGGACCCAGGAATTTGGGGTCCTGGTTCTTTGTGAAGTAAGACCAGAGACTCAGGTCTCCTAGCCCCAAGATCCAGGCCTCCTGTCCAAAGCCCCTGGGCTCTTCACGCATGGGCCCCAGACATCCCACAACCCAGGCATTGGCACTGCCAGCAAGTTCCAGACCCCCTGAGACTTAGGCATTTGGGATGCAGGGGCCTCTTTGATATACCCAGGCACGCAGGAGCCAGACCCCAAACTCCATCACCCTCAGGCCAAAAAACCCTCCCCTAGGATCGTGGCATTGGGGGCCCAGGCCCACCCCCCCATCATCTGACATAGGTCACTCTGTCCCCAGGCCACACCCCACTCCATGTGGCTGTCATCCACAAAGACGCGGAGATGGTCCGACTGCTCTGGGAGGCCGGAGCTGACCTCAACAAACCGGTGAGCTGCCCTAGGGAGAAGGCGTGGCAGGGTGGGGATCGTCCCCGAGCGGGGCAGGGTCTCCTCTAACCTCTCTGCTGCACCCCACAGGAGCCCACGTGTGGCCGGAGCCCCTTGCACTTGGCAGTGGAGGCCCAGGCAGCCGATGTGCTGGAACTTCTCCTGAAGGCCGGTGCCAACCCCGCCACCCGCATGTACGGTGGCCGCACCCCACTCGGCAGCGCCATGCTCCGGCCCAACCCCATCCTCGCCCGCCTCCTCCGTGCACACGGAGCCCCTGAGCCCGAGGACGAGGACAAGCCCGGCCCCTGCAGCAGCAGTAGCGACAGCGACAGCGGGGACGAGGGCGTGAGTCAGGAGGAAAGACTGGGCGGCCCAGCTTTGGGGGTCAGGGTAAACGGGCAGGTGGAAGGGGGAGAAGAGAAATTAGGCAGCACGTTGAGACTGACGTCGGGCTGCTGTGATTAGAGAACTCGGGCAGCAGTGAAAGTGATATCAGACAGCGATCAGGGGAGACCTGGACAGGGGTGGCGGGGAGAACTCAGGCAGTGGCAGTTGAGAAGTTAAGGCAGTGGCAGAGGTAGAACTCAGGCAGAGGGAGAGAAAAGACCTTGGTCCTAGTGGTTGGTAAACATCGACAGCAGAGGGTGGCAGCGTGGGGAGTTGTTTTGTGGGAGCAAGAGCTGGAGAGTTTAGGCTGTGGGAAGATGACCTTGGGCAGCAGTGATTCAAACACTGGCAGCGGTGGGGAAAGACCTAAGCCAGCGGTGAGGAGGCTTCATTGGAGAACCCAGGCAGCAGAGACACTGCTGGGGGCAGGGGTTGTCGTTGAACGGTGGGGGTTGAGGAATTTGGGTAGAGGCAGAGGGAAGGGGCGGAGGGGGAGACCTCAGCCTGCGGCGGCTGAAGGGCTGGAGAGGCAGCAGGACTGGAGCCCACACAGTAGCGCTGGGAGAACACAGGTGACCTGGAAAGTGGTGCTTAGAGAACTAGAAGCAGGGAAGTTGAACTGGGAGCGGGGAACTTGGGCTTCAAGGCAGCACCCGGTTCTCAGGGTGGGTGGGAGAACTTGGGCAGCGGGCAAGGTGGCAGCCGCCTGAGCCCCTCTGCCTGGCCCCCTCTGCCCCCAGGATGAATATGACGACATCGTGGTCCACAGTGGCCGGAGCCCAAACCAGCTACCTCCCACCCCAGCCTCGAAACCGCTCCCTGATGACCCCATCTGACTTAATTGTGAATAGAGTTTCCAATTTAATAAAAAATCCCAGTTCTGACAACAGTCGCCTTCCCAGGCCTCCCGCCCACTCCTCAGCTCCTGTCCCTCTAAAATCAAGTGCTACACGATAAGCCTTGGTGGTTTTCTTTGTGCTTTATTCACTCGGGAGGGTTGGACTGCGTTAGACGGGTGTCAGGGCTGTTTCCTGAGTCAGTCTGAGCCCAGCCCCTCTACCCAGCTCAGACTTGGCCCCTCAGGCCTGGTTTCAAGGTGCACCCTTCTCTCCACTCCTGCAGGTTGGGGAGCAGAGTGGGGTGACGGACTGGAAGGGTTTGGGGGTCAACAGTCCTAAGCCGTAGGGTGTGTGAGGAAGGAGGACACGAGGTCAGGGGTCCGCCCGCCCTCCTGAGCTCCTCTCCCAGCATCTCCGTCACCTCCTTCAGCTCATCTCTCGTGTGCTCCAGCCGTTCCACGTCACGCTCCTGGGGGGATCAGAAATGGGGCGCTCAGCACCCACCTTCAAAGGCAGGCCACCTCAGTGGTTGCCCATGAATGTGGGCCAGGTCAGTTCACTTAGTGGCAACCAGCAGTGGTCATCCTGGTCATCGTGGGCCACGATGGTCGCCCTGCTGGTTGCTGCAACCCTGGAAGAGTCACGTCAGCTAACGTGGCCAGCAGTGAGGCCTCCGGTGTGTGCCATAGCCAACAGCGGCAGACAGAGGACTAGCAAAGGCGCTAGTGACTGGGATGCTGTGACCCATTTGTGAGGTGATGGCCCTTTCGGTAACTGCCACCGATCATGGTGACATCTTTACTTCCCATGACCCAGCAGTGGTGTCCATCTATAGCCCAGTGAACCAGCCGTGGCAGCTACTTTTCATGGTGGTCAACTTGCTGGTCACAGACTAGCAATGGTGGCTAACTCGGGCACTTCTGTGTGGTAATGGTGGCCTTCTTGGTTACTGTAATGGAAGTACGGAAGCCCTCTTGATCAAGTAAAGGCCCTGCTTAGATGTTGCTACCTAGTCCTCATGTCAGTCCTGGTCACTACGGCCCATTTGTGGTGGATCTTGCTGTTTATGGCCCAACATTGGTGGCTGTTCGGTAGGAAGTCCACTGACATCTCCACCCCACTCCGTCCTTGCCTCCTCCACTCACCTCCTGTCCGCAGCCTCTCTCTTCTCCTGCTTGGGCTCAGCTTCTGCCTGGTGGAGGTGGTGGCGGTCCTCGCGTCTCTCTCCACCCGCCTCGGCACCCGGCCACAGGCTGTGGCCCCTGCCCAGCACCTGCACCCCCTTCTCCTCTGCCTCGAACTGGGCTGTCTCCTCATCGCTGGTCTGCTCTGCCACCCGCTTCCACGGGCCCTCAGTGGCCTCCATGGGCCCCCTCTCCTTTTCCTCCTCCTCCTCTCTGTGCTTCTGGCGGAGCCGGCCGTGGAGCTGCTCGTGGATGGCCGGTTCCCGCACTTCGGCCTTGTGGGTCCTTTCTGCTGCCTCCTCTTCCTTGTCCCTCACCTCCTGGCTGGATCTTGTCTTCCCAGCCTCTGGCTTTTTAAAATCCCCAACCAGGAGGCCTTTCTCGTCAGTGGACCCACAGCCGCAGGACTCTGTCTCACACATTTCTAGAGGAAAGAGAGGATGTTCTCTGTGCAGCCAAACAGAAAACAGCCCTAGAGGAGTTCTGGGGCTGCCCGAGGTCCCACAGGGGCACTGTCCAGACCTGGGAGGGGAGAGTCAGGTGCTGGGAGACACTCTCTGCCCTCATCCTGTACCCTTGCAGGGAGCCCCGAGGGTGGGGCTAGGGGCCAGGCTCCTTCAGTCTGGACACACTTGACAATGCCAGGCCAGCCCAGACAATGGCTCTAGGATGAGAAGAGGACACCCCTTCCTCCAGGCAGCCCTGGTGGGGTGGGAGCTCCTAAGAGGAACTGGGGCCTGGGCCCTCCTTACCTTTGTGGAGGAGAGCCATGCAGGGGCCTCGCTTGGCCTGGCCCAGCATCAGCACTTCTGTGACCACCTCTGCCAGACAGCGGGTCAGCTGGGGGTGAAGGGTCAGAGGGGAGGTTGAGGGTAGGGCAGATGGGGGGCATGAGAGCAGTGGGAGGGTTGGAGGGGAGACAAAAGATCGTGGAGGGGGCTGGGAAGGGGGGACCAGGGCCCCAGGGAGATGAGGCAGGGCAAGAGGGCCGCAGTCCTCACCTCCTCCTTGGAGGGTCGCGGTGCCAGGGGAGCCGCGGTGGCTGTGGAAGAAGGACGGGGGTGCTGGGCTTCTACTCCGGGCGCTGTCCCGGGTGCTGATTCCAGCTCCGAGGTCGTCCCGGTACCCACAAGTCCCCTCCCCCAGCCCCCCTGCCAGGTGCGCCGTCTCCACCTGGAAGCTCAGCCCATGAAAGCTCTAGTCTGGCCCCGCTGGGTGCGCCGTCCCCGCCCCCGGTCACCCGAGTCCCCCGCTCCCCAGGCTGGCCGGGGGGGTCGCCCTGGTCTCAGGCGCTCACCCGCCCCGAGCAGCAGCGCCAGCAAAGGAGGCAGCAGCAGCAGCAAGAGCGGCACGGTGGGCTCGCGGCGCTGCATGGTGGGGCGTCCGGACCAGGGTCCTCGCACCGTGCGGCCGGGGAGGCAGCTCCTTATAACCCGCGCCCCCAGTGGCCCCCACGGGAGGAAGTGACGTCACCACCACCCGCTCCCCGCCAGATGGAGGGCAACAGCTGCGGGGCGGAGACCCGTCTGAGACCCTCTATTATTCATGGGGGCCCACTCCCTGCACCCTCCCCTCCAGCTTCCGGCCCCTGAGCTCCAGCGCGGGGCGGGTTGGAATTCTCTGCCCAGGTAAACAGGGTCTGATGAGCTTAAGGCCCCACTGGGAGGCGGGACCTGGGTTTGAATCCAGAGGCAGCCACTTACAGACCAACCTCAGGCAACTCCTTCCTTTCCTTGGCCCATTTTCTCCTCTGGAAAGTGGGTCTGATAAATCTACTTCCTCAGAGCTGTATCTGGCCCCCACCTGAGTCCCAGCTCCTCCACTACCAGCTGTGCAGCCCTGGGACAACTGCTTAATCTAAGACCTGCTCCTCACTTGTGAAATAGGGCTGGTGACAACCTACTCCACAGCTTGATGGGGAAGATTAAATAAGTTAATGCACATGTTAGCTTGGGCAGTGCTTGGCACTGCGAACTACACAGGCCCGAGCTCCTTCACCCCAGTCATTTTTATTGAGCGCCCATTACATGCCCAGTCCTCTTCTAGACCCTGGTGCTACAACAATGAATGGGGCTGCTGGCAAACTTCCCTGGCCTCTTGGAGCAGACATCTCAGAATGGGGCAAGACAGTACCCAAGGAAGGAGGCTGCGGTGCATTGCAGCACGGCGGCGTGGATGCCGAGTGCTGGGGTTTGTACTTTGGCCAGGCTGGTCAGGGAAGTCCTCTCGGAGGAGGTGACATCTGGGCTAAGGCCTGAGTGACAAAATGCAAGCAATCACACAAGATCTGGGGAAGAGT